TTTCAATAAAATATAAATTGTCCTCTTGATTTAATTGTATTTATTTAACAAATTGTTCCTGATAAACGCGCATACCTTCAGTAAATTAAAGTAGCAAGCTAATATCTCGTTTGGCGGAGCCGGGTGGCCACCACACCCCACCCGTAGCTCACATTATTAATATCATTAAAAGGGTCACTCATTAAGTAGCAGTACATATGCCCTGGGATAGGGAAATTTCGTGGCATTGATAGTTACATGTGATTATCTAATTGTAGGGGAAATGCGCATGTACTTTGTGAACGACACCCTAATTGAACTATATTATTACATAGTATCGTCCAAACTCCGATATAATGGTGAGGTTAATAGTTGTGTTAGCCGGAAAATATAACTCCAGGGCATTATGGACAATCCGGGCCATTTGGTCGGGCGTTTTATTTAACGCAGTGATGGTTCCCGAAAATCCACCACCTTGGTAAATTTTAAAATTAAAAAATTGTAACTTGTTTTTGGATGAAAATTTAATATATAATTTTAATATTGAACAAATTACTAAGTACCGATGTCAAGAAGGTGCATGTTGAAACCCAACTCTTTACCCTGGTCGAACACATATTTGGCGTCACAAATGGCCTTGGTATAGGCCTCACCCAGCTGACACAACTGCCCACGTGAAAACTAATACCAATTACATTTACGCCAAGTTTCCTAGCCACTAGCAATAGGTGGCGCACCTGTTGTAGATTGGCACCAAACTTTTTGGTCAAAGGTAGCTTGGAGTATTTTTCCGTGTTTACAGCTATGCGTAACACCATGTCAGCACCGGGATGCAGTTTTTGTACTTTATGGAGTTCGTCCTCGTTATCAAACGTCATTTCTTTTACGCCCACCTGTGCCGCGTACGCTATATGTGAACGTGCTTTGACTGGATGGGCGTATATAATGCGGTCGGGACTTACACCCAATTTCAAAACAGCTTCAATCTCTCCCTGGTTATTAGTTAGTTAAATATAATTATAAAAATCTAAGTTTTAATAAATTGTTGAATTTTATAATAAATAGATGGAAATTTTCATATGTTTTGTGAATTCACTTTATGTTATAAAGTTAGCTATTTAATTAAAATACGAAACAATATTAGTATTTATTGATATAAATAAAGTCCTTTCCAACGCACCCGTACTACTTTAAATTAAAATTTAAAATATTTACAATAATATTCTATTAACATATTTTATTATATTAATATTTTATATTTTATGCATTTTGGTCTAGTTTTTGTTAATATAATTGTAAATATTTTTAATTTTAATATAAAGTAGTACGAATTCGTTGGAGCACCCGTTATAATGAATATTGCATTTAAAATAGTAGGTAAAGGTACTAGGAATATTATATAATAGTAATTTATTTTAACTATACATTTAAGTGTTTTGTAAGTGATTTTCAAAAATATAATTTATTAGTAATTTTATAATTTTGTTAAAATTTTTTCAGTTAATAATAGGGTTAGACTGTACGGGACATACCCTGGAGGCGCAGTCAAAACTCATCCCGAGTCCGGCGAGTATTTCCAGTACTATTGGCGAGGGATTGGATTTGACGGCAAAATACTGCTTCACTCGCGGCATGTATTTAAGGAGTTTGCGGTACTTTTCGATGATGTCCTCCACGTCCACCACATAGAAGGGCTCATCGAGACGACCGGTGCTGTTGTGGTCATTGACAACATGTCTGATAACATTTCCAATGTTTGTTTTATCTTGCATATCTTTTGTAGTAAAAATAATGTTAACAATTTAATTTTAAATGAGTTATAAAATTTTGAATGAATTATTAGGTTATTAATTATTTGTATAAATATTCATTTATATATTATGTATAATATATTATATTTAATATTCAAGACATATATGATTATTTATATTTCAATGGCCCATAAAATATAAGATAATTAAATGTTGATATCTTTATGCAGTATAATGAATGAGTTTTTAGACATAATTAATCTAGTCGTAAATAAAGTCACCCTTTATATTTTTTTATCAAATAATATTAATATATCATTTTAATAGACATTATATTGATATTTTTATGATTTAATAAGATTATCTACTTTTGCAGACGTGGTGTAATTATACGATCATTTAACCTTGTTAATTACGTATGAATGAATTAGGTGTGAGCATAGCACCAGTGGACCACAATATTAATATACATAATTTAATATTTGCAGAGTGTAGTTATGATTATAGATTTGTATGTTTAACAGATTTTTAAAAATGTGTTATACTTGTAATTATTTATTTTTTACACGTGCCCATATTGGTAGTGACTTAACTAAAGTTATAATTTAATACATTAATTTCGTAATAAGCAATCACATATGTTTTCTACTGAAAATAACTCATAAGTTATAACGAATATGTATGGCAAGTATATTTTAGAAAATTACATTGTAACACAGATGCTATTTGCATTATAATAACTAGCTAACTTGCATTATAAACTAAATAATGCATACAGTATTTTAATGCATTCAGTATATAAAATATTTAAGTATAGATAAATCAAATTAATTAATTTGTTCATAATAATGGATATTTATTTTCACTTTAGTTTGTAAAAGTTATACGCTATAATATACAATGCAATAAAATTATTGCTTGTTGCTAACAGCAATTTTGTCAAATTATATACTTAAGATACACTAATAAAAAAGTAAAATTCTTATACCAAAATATTTAGTTCTTGTTTAAATAAAACTTATTTGTCTATAAGTGAAATAAATAAGCATGGTATAATGGAATTTTATTATACAATAGTAGTAAATTATAATATAAATTATATTACTTTTTATGTGAAATTCGTTTAGTAAGGTAATTTTTATCCAAGCAATGCCAGATATAATGCAATTGTTTAGATATAACATACTATATGAGTAACATAATTCAGTCATAACAAGTTGTTTAATTACAAAATATTTTTAATTTCGTTAATTAAATAGTAGATCTATTATATATATTTTGTTATTTTATATATAAATTAATAAACATAATATAAATACGAAATCAAAACCTTTATCATTATACGCAAGCAATAATGGCTAAAGTATATAAAAGGTACTTTTATTTTATTACACTACTAATGTGCATTGCGACAACTATAGGCATGGTGTATGTTAATGATTTTTATACGTACGGCATTGAGCATGGTGACATCGACCTACAACCAGATTATAAACACGCCGGAAGTAGTAACGAGATTGCGCTCACCACTGGATTCCTTTATTTTAACACCACGCACAATTCATTATGGGTAAATGTGAACGGGATCATTTCATTCAATAAAATCACATTCACGTACGCCCCTAATTGCCACGCGTTAAGTGATAACATTATGATAGCACCGTTTTGGGCTGACACAGATTTAAAGTACGGTGGTCATATATATTACCGCGAGACTACCGAAATAAGCGTGCTTAAAAAGGCAACCGATGATATTAATAAGGCGTTGCCACAATTTAATGACGTCGATGTGACGTGGGCGTTTGTCGCCACGTGGGTCAACGTCAGCTTCTATAGGGCTAATGAATGCGCAGTACAACCGCGAAACACGTTTCAAAGTGTGCTGGCTAGCAACGGTACTCATTCGTTTGTCATATTCAATTACAACGTTATCACGTGGACAACGGGATTAGCGTCGGGGGGTCACTGCCCGGGAATTGGTGGGACACCCGCTAAAGTTGGTTTCGAATCCGGTGATCACACTATTGAATATACTATACCCGGTTCGTGTACCGACGAAATAATAACCATAAATAATCGCTCAAATAATAACAATAATATCAATGAACGGGGTAATTGGATTTTCAGCGTGTCTAACACAAACATTGTGTGCGATGATAATTTTAAGAGCACACTAGGTGTCAAACCTTATTTTGTAGATATATACGGCCATGTACCTGTTAAATTATCAGGGCCGTGTTTCAACGCGAGTGATGATATTCTTTGCTATTTTAGAGATGAGAAATGGACATTTTCTGTTACGGTAAATGGCATAGTGGAAGGGCTACCTAATGATCCCCATGTTACGTGCATACCCCCTTACTTATATAAGGGCGGAAGATTGATAATAGAATTAAGAGTCACTGATTATCGTGGATATAACAAATATTATTACGGACATGTATATGTGGTTGAACCATAGGATTATAACCAATTGGACGTTCTTATAACAAACGTGTCGAGTACAGTAGTTAACATGCAATTCACATGGAACCCAAAACATTTCGACCGAAATAGCAATCTGAGCATCTATATGAATATATTAGACGATTCTAAAATGCAATTTCATGAATCTCGAAAGTGGAAACATGTTAAAACATTGGTAGAAAATATCTCCAATAATGGAATGTACGCGAATAATTTTAGCAAACTAGATTTTCCAGAAGAAATTGCAAACTCAGCATGCATGGTTTCCTCAGAACAGAGTGGTTATGATTTGGGGAAACGATATAAACGGGGTGTTTCGATGGAACCGGGCAAAGCAATTTTTTCTTGGTTCGTGAATATTCCTGAGTTTTTTAGCCATACCTTTGGCGAAACTTGCATGGAGTGGTACAACAATGACCATGGTGGCCCCACTGACCTATTACCGTGTCCTTTAACAGCGGCACAATCTATGGCAGACCCACGGTTTGAAATTGATCCATTATATTATTATGAGTTCAACTGGGGAGCCGATTTTTGCGTTCGATCACGAGTGCCTAGCCCAAGTGGAGGTGGACAACAATGTTGTTATCGAGGTGAAAATATTTTACTCGGTCCGTGGGGCGGCGGCACTGCAGATAAAAGTCATTATACTAAAGCGATAGATCATTTTAACGACGACATTTTACCCTGGATTAAATGTTGCCATTATAAACCCGTGGAACTGTGTAATCGTTACTACGAAAAACGTCCGTCTGACCCTGGTACAAATTACGAGCCCCCGCAACCGACGTTCGCCAGTGGCGACCCGCATATAACCACGTTCGACGGTGTGAATTATACTTTTAATGGAGCAGGTGAATTTTGGTTAATCCGTTATGGACTATTTATGCCAATGTCGGTTCAAGCCCGTATGGAAATATATGTGGATAATGATGGGGTCGCCAGAAATACTACACTATTTACGGCATTCGTGCTGAAAGGTCACGATTCGCCATTAATACAGGTTTTACAAACTCACCATTTTCAATTTTATTTATTAGTTGCATTATTATAGGTACAAAAATCGCTAACGCGCACAGTTGATATTTTTGTAGACAACGTGATTATGGATTTAAATGTACCAGATATATATGTTACACAATTTAATGGCGTACAAGTAGCTGTTTCACATGATAGGAGCATGGTTAATGTATCATATGAGAGTGGTTTTAATTTTGTAATTTCGACGAATCACCAAGGATTTTCAATATTAAGTACATGTGATAAGAAATACATAAACAAAACTTGGGGACTTTTAGGTGTTTACGATGGAATCAAAGAAAATGACTTGCAAGATCAGCAAGGTAACATTATTAGCATGCATGCCTCGTTACACGACATTCACTATGAGTTTGGACTAAAGTGGCGAGTGTTGCCGTCGGAAAGCTTGTTCATGTATACTGGTAAGTTTATTTATAAATCATAAGTTATTGTTATCAATGGCGTATATTTATGTTGATAGCATGCTACTCTGACTTAATTGTATAATTGAATGAATTAAAAATTTAGAAAATTTTCTAAAATATGCGCAAGGTATTATTTTGGACCTTCGCAATAGTTATAATTTGTAAAATATATAATCATAGTATATCCAATAATTAATCTTGTTAATTAGGCAAAACATACGACGACTACAACATCGAAAATTTCGTGCCAAACCTAATCCCGCCAGATATATCTAAAGCGTCTAAGCAAGCTCAATTGCTTTGTGGTGAATCCTTGGAATGTTTGTACGATTTCATAACCACGGGAAGTGCTACAGTTGCCAACCATACCAAATGCATCATTGAGGAATTTAACAAGATTGTTAAAGTTTTCGGTACAAATCATACAACGTGTCCACCATTAAGTTATCCATTGAATGGCTACTATCAAGTTGATAATTTTGTTCCGGGTAGCGTTGCTAAATTTGATTGTTATGAAAATTATACACTAAAGGGACCTATGACAATTAAGTGTCAAGATGATGGCAAATGGAATAATACTGAGCCTACTAAGTGTTTAGACTGACCAGACGTCCAGCTCCGGGCTGGATCGTCCAGTTTTGAGGGTTTCTGTCCAGTTTTGTCGTAAAAAATTTTCTATTGAAAAGATAGGATTGTCCAGCCTGAAATTTAAAATAGATCGTAATTTTGACTATTTTATAAAAATGTCCAGCTCTAAGCTCAATTTTGAGAAAATGATCTGGTCACTCTATAAGTGTTTACCAATCCATGATGATGATGGCCACGGTAATAGGATTTTGTATATTTGTCTTGGAGTCTCGGTCTTAATAATAATTGTAATTGCAATTATTATATACGTACGTTATTTCACTAGTAGTGCACGTCGTAAAAGGTTATATAATCCGGTTTCTTAAGTTAAGATACAATTGTTTTAACAATGAACCTCCATTCGTATTATTAGATTAAATGGAGAAATTTAATTTTAATAATTTTATTATTATATTCTGGGTAAATCAAGAGAAATTATATAATTGTATTTAAACTGATTTTAACTATTACAAATAATTAATATGTTTGATATAATCGTTTTAGTATCTAAACAAGTATAAATTATAAGTATCTATTTTGACGTAAATTATTTACAGTTACAATAATCTAAATACACTGGCTTTATAATTTAATTTTAGGTTTATTTGTTTTGTTTCAACCAAAAATAAATTTGTCAATGTAACAAATTAAATTAATAAAATAAAGTTCAAACTGCTTTACGTTATATTTTATTAAAATTATACACTATGTATTTTAATTATTTTATGATTTTATTAAAATATGGTATCCCCTCTACCATACACTTACTTCATATTATTGTAACATTAGTAATTTTTGCGCTGACTATGGGTTCATCAAATCATACAATATAACAGAATATTCCGGGTGTCATACAGAATATTCTTGTTTTGTCAAGGCTATTTAATAATGAACCAGAATATAGATTTTTAATTATAAGTAATAAGCGAGTTATTAAACAGACTGCCATCTTAGTTTTTATTGATGCTGTTTATAACTACACTTACAGTCGAGGAAGTTGGCAGAGATACAGGTGCCCACAAGCAATAACAGTCCAATATTTTCCAGCATTATACCAGGTTTATTTTAATTTTTATTTAATATCTAAATAAATATTGAATGATTTATAAAATCCAATTAAATCTCTTTTTATACATTTTGAAAAGTGAGACATGTCTTAATTATGTAGATTGATAGATTATTTAGGACTTATGTTATTGATTGAAATTAAGTCAAGCCTATTCAATAAAGTAATACTTGGCCTTAATTTATATAATACTCGCTAATAAATCTAAACATAAATTATGGAAAATATAATAAATTCAAATGAAATATTAAACTATAACAAACACAAAAGAATTTTATCAGTGACAAATTTAAGAATTAATTTATAAAACCTAAAACATAATTTCATATTTAACATAATAAATATGTTGGCAGTATATAATAAAAACTTGTAATACTGCCGATACGTACTGTAAAACATTTAATAAATTATTTCATAAATTAATTGTATTTGCAAAGTCTTAGCAATTAACATTGATATTTTTATTGCTACATTTCCTAACAGTTATCACAATAGTTAATTTTAATATATTACTAATATATACTGTATGCTATGACATTTAACTTACAACTACAGTATTATTTTTATTTTTTATTGCATTTCAATGAAAACATGTTATTTACTTCAAAATACTTATATTTATTAGTATTTAAAAATAATTGAATAAATTAATTTTTAACAATATTAAAATTTACAACATTTAACAAATATATTTAACTTTATTAAAAAAATTATTCAGTTTTTTCTATTAGTGGTTATAATAAATTAAATTATATGCCTGATTATAATTTATTATATGATAAAACAATATATTTTATTATACAATAATCCTAAAAGTTATATAAAATGTTAATTTTTCCGTCAATATATATATTGTGTTTTTACAAAATTGTGAATTACTATATAAGTTGATATAATGAATTTTTACATATACAGTCACTTGTAAATTGTGCATGTTTACTTGTCAGTATTTTTATTTAATTAACATTGAAAATTTTAAAATTAATACTGTACTTATCTATATATCATATACTAGCATTGTAGTATTTTGCAAATCTATAATAGTGCAATGAATAATCAATATAAAATATTAGATTTTGTCATTGTTACAATTATAATTCATTCGATTCAAGCACAAGTAACATTGCACGAATTTTACCCATACGGTAGTGAGCATGGTGACATAAGCCTAAACCCTGCCAATAAGGACGATGGAAGTTCGAACCCGATTACATTGACCCAAGGTTTTCGATATTTTAATGCCACACACGAAACGATATGGGTGAATGTGAACGGGGCCGTTTCATTTAAGCAAGCTATACGGACGTTCACGCCAACATGCAAAAGTTTGCCCAGTGAATTTAGCATGATCGCACCGTTTTGGGCTGATGTTGATTTAACGTATGGTGGTGATATATTTTATCGCGAAACTGTTGAGATGAGCGTGCGCAGAAAAGCGTCCCACGATATCGCAATGGCATTTTCCGAGTTTACTGACGTCGAAGTCAAATGGGCGTTTATAGTCACCTGGCTAAATGTAAGCTATTATGGGGCTCGAAATTGCGATATCAAATCTCGCAATACGTTTCAAAGTGTGCTGGCTAGCGATGGCGTTCATTCGTTCGCCATTTTCAACTATAACGACATCAATTGGACTACGGGAACGGCATCGCATGGAGTGTGTCCTGGTGTGGGCGGTTTACCTGCCAAATGTGGTTTTGATTCTGGTGATGGCAGTTCATTTTATAATATACCCGGCTCGTGCACTGGTGATATTATAAACGTCAATAATCGCTCAAACGTAGATCAGAAAGGTAAATGGGTGTTTCGTGTGGACAACGAAAATATAAGACCAGCAGGGTGCAGCGACAGTTTTAACAGCTTACTACGTGTCGAACCATATTTTGTCGATTTGTTAGGTCATATGCCATTACGATTATCAGGGCCATGCCTTAATGGTAGCGCAGAGTTTACATGCAGATTTCACGATAAAGATAAAGGTATCATAGATATGCCGGGAATTGCCCAAGGTCTACCCACAGAACACAGTATAATATGCATGGTACCCTTTTTATACAAATGTGGACGCATTAAAATCGAGTTGATAATTAAAAACGATGAGTCCCGGGAAATATATCAAGGCTATTTATATCTTGTAGAGCCTAAGACTAACGATAAACGTGTCGGTGTGGCGGTAACAAGAGTATCAAGCTCAGTGGTAAATGTAAATTTCACCTGGAACCCTGCGTACTTCGATAAAAGTAGCACCGTGGGAATATATCTATATGCACCGGACGTTGTTGATGGAAAATGGGTGCGCAGTCTGATATTCGCCGAGAATATAGTCAATAGCGGGAGTTACTTTGATAATTTTAACGAGCAAGATTTTCCCGAAGATGCTAATTCGGCGACAATAGTGTTTATAGAACCCATAACGGACTCGGATTCTGGAATAAATCGTATTGAACGGGGGCGTTGGAATAAATTAATGTCCATGTTGGTAAATTTTGGGAAGGAATTCTTCGAAGTCCCTAACATAGACCCATGCTTTTTGTGGTACCTATCAGACTCGGGTGTTCCCGATGACCTACTACACTGTCCTTGCAACGTCACGCAGCTCCGGGTGGATCCTCGTTTCAAAACTGACCCTGCTTGCAAGTCGCCACCATGCAAATTTCATGAGGGCGTCGACTTTTGCACAAGGCCGATCGAGCCAAGCCCCAGCCACGCTGGCCAACAGTGTTGCTACAAAAACGGTATTTTAGATATTAGTCTGCGCGGTGGCGGCACAGTCGATAAGAGACATTACGAAGATTATGTAGGCCATTTTAGTAACGATGTGGTGCCGTGGCTCATGTGTTGCCAGTATAGAAGCGACGAATCGTGCGCTAGGTATCGCCAAAAAAGGCCGTCCGACGATTGCTCAAAGTACGAGCCACCACAGCCATCGGGCGCTCGAGGTGACCCACATATAACCACGTTTGACGGACTCGATTACACATTTAATGGAGCTGGTGAATTTTGGTTGATCCGCGATGGCCCCGGTATGCCAGTGTCGGTTCAGTCGCGTATGGAGCCGTTCGTGAGTAGTGATGGAGAAGCTAAAAATGCAACCGTGTTTACGGCGTTTACGATGAAAAGTGTCGACACGTCTTTAATACAGGTTAAAATAGTTTCCAAAATACATTACATTTGCTTTGCCTAAGTAATAGGTTCAATAAATGTGTGGTATTTGATAAATTTAAATACATTAATTGACATGTTACAGGTACAAAAATCATCAATGAATAAGTTTGATCTATATGTGGACAATGTTAAGGTTAATTTGAGTGATCCAGCACTTTATGATACAACATATGACGGTGTAACCGTAATGGTTTCCGATGATATGAACCAGATATCCATATCGTTTTCCAGTGGTTTTAATTTCATTATATCGACAAATACCGATGCCCTTTCCATAATGATTATGTGTGACAAAAGGTACATTGGTAAAACCAGGGGACTTTTAGGCAATTACGATGGTAACAAGGACAACGACTTGCAAGATCAACATGGTAATGTTATAAATACAGAAGCTTCAACTCGTGATATTCATTATCAATTTGGTCTCAAATGGCGAGTGCTATTATCGGAAAGTCTGTTTAAATATTCAGGTACAATTATGAGTATCAATGCGATAAATATACATTTGACTCTACTTTAATGTGAATATATCCATTAATTTAACTTTAAAACAGTCGCATGTTAGTGAAAATGGGTGCATTCATTGTAATAGTCTAATAGATATTTGTAGTTAGATAATTTAGATTTAAATCTGCTTTACCATGACTGTTTTAATTCTAAGCATAATGTGATAAAGTATTTTAAAACCTTTAATTTATATTTATGCACAATTATACTATAAACCTGAGGCACCCAAAAGTTATTTA